TGGGCACAGGAAAGCCAGCCGAGGGGAGGGCATACAATAGCCCTTTCTGCCTATGGCAGGCTCTGACCTCCCTCGGGGGGAAGCAGGGGACATCACACTGACGAGACATCTCATGACACGGCCACCTCCCGACATCTGTTCCTGGACGAGGAGAACCGGGCACTTGTCTTAAACGAGCTCAGGGAGAGAAAACACACTACAAACTCCCATCTTTGCCACGAGGCTGGCAGCAGAGGCCCTGAGGTCATCTGGCTACAGAGAGAAGGCTGGGGAGGATTCCTGACTATTCCTACAGGGTCCAGGGGACCTGGCTCTGCTGGCCAACCCCTCCCTTCCTCAGGCTTCATTGTCCCCAGGGTGGTCATATTAAATAGCTCCCATTTCTTTAAATACAAAGTGCTTTCTATGTATTGATCCATCTAATCCTCAAAACAATCCTACATGCTTTTATTAGCCCTTTTAATAGTTGGATTGTACAGGGGTTTTGCATTTTCAATTTTCTTTAGCTGACAAATCCCTACTTGCAAGGAAATAGTAAAAGAAAAATCCATATGCAAAACAGACTAGAGTAACTCTGGACGGGAGGAAGGGGTTGAGGGAGGAAGACCAGAGCTCCACTTGGCCAACATTCTCCCCACAACGATTCTCAAGAGGTTCTTTGGAAACGGGCCCTGAAGATACCCCACAATGACTCCCAAGGGGTTCTTTAGAAACAAGGGCTCTGAACCCTGAGATCTGAACCCTGAGAACTGGCAGGGCTCACTCAGCTGGGAGTCCTTCCCACAGGACTACCCAACTGCCCCAGCTAAGGCAGAAGCAGAAGTGGGGAGGTCTATGAGGCATGGGACTGTCCACCCCACACCACGCTTCTGAACATCTTGCTGATGCTGGCCATGGGAAAGCCAGCTCCTGGTCTGGGCCCAAGCCCCCACTTCTCTCTCGGAAAGCCCTTCCTTGTTACAAATGGAGACCCTGCCACCAGATGTGTTCCTCTGATGGCCTCCCACCTCAGAGCCCGTTACTGAGTGTCGGCACTCCATACCCACTGCAGGGAATGGGACTGCATGAGACGGGTGGGGGCTGAGAGGCAGGAAAGACAGCACCCAGGGCTCCCGGAGCAGGGGAAAACTGGAGGGAGGAGTCCTCCTGGGTCTGCCCCGCTGGCCAGAGGGGAAGATGCTCACATCACAGACCTGCAGCAGCTGGCCAGAGGGGAGGGTGCTCACATCACACCTGCAGCAGCTGGCCAGAGGGGAGGGTGCTCACATCAGACCTGCAGCAGCTGACCAGAGGGGAGGGTGCTCACATCACAGACCTGAACAGCTGGCCAGAGGGGAGGGTGCTCACATCAGACATGAGCAGCTGGCCAGAGGGGAGGGTGCTCACATCAGACCTGCAGCAGCTGGCCAGAGGGGAGGGTGCTCACATCACAGACCTGAACAGCTGGCCAGAGGGGAGGGTGCTCACATCAGACATGAGCAGCTGGCCAGAGGGGAGGGTGCTCACATCAGACCTGCAGCAGCTGGCCAGAGGGGAGGGTGCTCACATCACAGACCTGAACAGCTGGCCAGAGGGGAGGGTGCTCACATCAGACATGAGCAGCTGGCCAGAGGGGAGGGTGCTCACATCAGACCTGCAGCAGCTGGCCAGAGGGGAGGGTGCTCACATCACAGACCTGAGCAGCTGGCCAGAGGGGAGGGTGCTGACATCAGACCTGCAGCAGCTGGCCAGAGGGGAGGGTGCTGACATCAGACCTGCAGCAGCTGGCCAGAGGGGAGGGTGCTGACATCAGACCTGCAGCAGCTGGCCAGAGGGGAGGGTGCTGACATCAGACCTGCAGCAGCTGGCCAGAGGGGAGGGTGCTGACATCAGACCTCCAGCAGCTGGCCAGAGGGGAGGGTGCTCACATCACACCTGCAGCAGCTGGCCAGAGGGGAGGGTGCTGACATCAGACCTGAGCAGCTGGCCAGAGGGGAGGGTGCTCACATCACAGACCTGAGCAGCTGAGGGGAGGGTGCTGACATCAGACCTGCAACAGCTGGCCAGAGGGGAGGGTGCTGACATCAGACCTGCAGCAGCTGGCCAGAGGGGAGGGTGCTGACATCAGACCTCCAGCAGCTGGCCAGAGGGGAGGGTGCTGACATCAGACCTGCAGCAGCTGGCCAGAGGGGAGGGTGCTGACATCAGACCTGCAGCAGCTGGCCAGAGGGGAGGGTGCTGACATCAGACCTCCAGCAGCTGGCCAGAGGGGAGGGTGCTGACATCAGACCTGCAGCAGCTGGCCAGAGGGGAGGGTGCTGACATCAGACCTGCAGCAGCTGGCCAGAGGGGAGGGTGCTGACATCAGACCTCCAGCAGCTGGCCAGAGGGGAGGGTGCTGACATCAGACCTGCAGCAGCTGGCCAGAGGGGAGGGTGCTGACATCAGACCTGCAGCAGCTGGCCAGAGGGGAGGGTGCTGACATCAGACCTCCAGCAGCTGGCCAGAGGGGAGGGTGCTGACATCAGACCTGCAGCAGCTGGCCAGAGGGGAGGGTGCTGACATCAGACCTGCAGCAGCTGGCCAGAGGGGAGGGTGCTGACATCAGACCTCCAGCAGCTGGCCAGAGGGGAGGGTGCTGACATCAGACCTGCAGCAGCTCTGCCCGCCCAGGAAACGGAGGCGGAGACAGAAAGGGGCGGATTTGCCCAGGTTTCTCAGCTGGTTGCGTGGAGACCGGGATTAGAAGCCACCTTTCTTGCCCTCTGGCACAGTGCCCTTTTCCAAACCTCGTTCTGTGAGAACCAGGCTCACAGAATCTATTTGGGGCAGGACCAAGTAGATCACAGCGAGGATTAGGAGGATAGAGTCCAGAGCCCAGAGTCTGGGTCCTAACCTGCAGGATGACCTAAGGAGGGAAGCCCCTTTTCTTTGGGTTCAGTTTCCCCAACTGCACCCCCAGACCTTGCCTAGGGGCCCCTACAGGGTCTAACACCCTCCCCAACACCCGCCCTCCACGTGGGGGGAGAAAGGGGCAGGTACGGGTGTAAGGTCGGCTGCCTCAGCCTGAGGGCTGTCTGCTGCCCCACCAAACGCAGCCCCGCCCTGGACGCCATCTGTTGGGGCGAAGCCCCCCACCTCACCCTGGGCACTGACTCCACACACACAGCCTCCCTCCCGGGCACCGACACACACAGACACACACACACTCTCTCTCTCTCTCTCTCTCTCTCT